TATTCTTATGAAGCTGAATTAATGCAAAAACTTCTAAATGAAAAGAAGAATCCCGTTGTTGCCTCCATCTCGACATTTAGATATGTCGATGACGTTTTATCAATTAACCATATTCATTTTCATTCATACTTTGATTCGATATATCCCATTGAACTCGAAATAAAATTAAGACACCAAAATATCGGACACGTGTTTCATATTTGGATGTTTACTTAGAGAAAGCTATTGATGGAAAACTAACAAATAAACTTTATAGTAAAAGTGATAAATTCAACTTTTTTATCGTCAACTTTCGTTATTTATGTAGCAATAACTACATGTAGTACTATTAGCGTCTTCATATGGGGCGTCTGTCTCCCAGTTGATTCGATACCAGGGCATGTTCTACGTACTAACAATTTCTAAAACGAGGCAGGCTATAATTGACAAATAAGTTGATGATACAAGGGTATCAACAATCTGCTTAAGTCAACATTTCGCAATTTCTATGGTCGAGACAATGACCTTGTTTGTATAAAAAGTCTACCGTTAAGTCGAATGTTGACGACTGACGTCTTTTATACAATTTATTTAGCTATTCTTTTCATACAACTGTCTACAAATTTTCTCCTTTTACACAGGGAGTACACGGCGGGTGTGACAGGCTGACAGGGGATGCTTATTTCTCCATGTCACCTGATCCTACTTCTGATGGCGTTTGCTCTCCTTGGACTTTGAGCATGATCACTGTTCGTTATCTTCAAATTTCATTGAAAATACATTACATCTTTAAATAGCTTCTTTAACCATAGACATAAGCAAGCATTATTAGCCCTTTAATCAAATTTTAAAATTCGTGAAAAAAAACCTCCTGTTTATTAATTTGTCGAGGACGTAAATTCGTAGGTGAGGGATACCCATAAATTCCTCAAATTGTAAGCTAATGATTCCAAAGTATTTCTTTTAATTCTGCGCTCGTGCCCAAAATAAACCCATATCATGACTTAAGGTTTTAGAACAAGGTATTTTTTGTAAAAAATTATTTTTCAATATTTTACTTTACAAGAAACGTAAGACCTGTTTATTTTTTTTATTTTTTATTTTTTTTTTTTATTTTTTATTATTATTTTTAATGAAAATATCGATGAATTGTCAGATACGAACGGAAAAACCTTGTGATAGATTAGTTGTGTTACAGTAAAATTGACCCAGTTTACTAGATGATATTTTACGTGCACAAAATGTGATGCTGATTTAGTTTTAATTATGAAAGGAAATATCAATTAACCAAAAATAACGTGACATTTTTTTAAATAAAGCTCTTGACCTTTGATATTGAAAATGAGTTAAACTATCATTTCCATTGAATTGCGTTAATAAAGATTGACGTGGAAATATTGCCTATATACTGAGGTGCCGACCGGAAATCAATATGTGACAGGCGGAGGAACCGAGTGGCTGGTGGAAATAATGGAACGATGGAGCCTTTATTTTTGGGATATAACGGTCAAAATATAATATAGTTATGGATGACAACAATGCTGTGTACAGAATTCCGTTTTAATTCAGTTTCATTCTTGTCAGAAGTGGAAGGTAGTCAGAGGAAAAGGGTTATTTTCAATATGGTTAAACTTTTTCAAATTCAAAACCATTGACATACTATAGGTAGTAAAAAAAAAAGAACACCATTTGTATTTGACATGTTAGTCTAATACTTTAATATACGGGCCATATAGGCTGAGGAAGCCACTTTTTTCTATTTTAGGATCAATAGGTCTATGTCAAGGGGCAGTAGTTTTGGACAAGTACCATGGCATCTGATTATGTAATTCACCTACATGTTCTTTCTCCAGAGATGTTAGGTGGTCAGAGGAAGAAGTCTGTTGATATCCGGGTTAAAAAGCTATTGAAAAGCTAGCAATAGGTGTTGACAGTGTTTTTATATCATTTAGTCCAATCAACCACCCTACTTCATTCGTTTATGCTAAGAGGCAAGAGAAAACAGATCAGTTCTAGGATAACGTGTATTGAACTTGGTATCGAACCCGGGACCCCTGCATTACTAGTGAGGTTCTCTAACCACAGAGCTATCCAGACAGATATCCACGGGCCCAAACCATTACAACCCCCCTCCTTAAATTGTCTTCGTCCTTAAAGACACAACCCAGATTCTTTAGCCCCTCGGGCCCGGCAAGAATTTCACCTGCAAGTCCAAGGATAGTCAACGGCAACAAATGTAACAGGAAAGGAGAAAAGTTATGGCTGGACCGGGAATGGAACCCGGGACCCCGGCTGCATTACTTGATAGGTGCTCTAAACCACTGAGCTATCTAGGTCATTATTCTACAGACCATATAGCCCCAAACCATATATTTCTCTCTCCTTAAATTGTCTACGCCCTCAAAGAGACAGCCCAGATTCTTTAGCGCCTCCCCCCCCCCTTTTATTTTACCTGCAAGTCCAGGGTTGGTCATTGATACCAGATGTGGTGGGAGGGGAGACAATTTATATAGGCTTGGGAATCGAACCCGGAATCCCTGCATCACTAGTAATACGCTGTACCAACTAAGCTGTCCAGGTCGATATCCAAGGCCCAAACTATTACATCCCCCTCTTTAAATCGTCTTCACCCTCGAAGACACAACCTAAGTTCTTATTTGCCTCTGGCAGGACTTTCACTTGCAAGTCCAGGGGTGGTCAACGGCACCAAATTATGTAGGACAGGAGAAAATGTATGGTTGGACCGGGAATCGAACCAGGAACCCCTGCATCACTAGTCAGCTGTTCAAATCACTGAGCCACCCAACAATCACTGAGCCACCCAGCCCGATACCCCCTAGTCCATACAACCCAAACACTGCAGTCTCAAATCCTTGAAACATGGCATCAAATGTAACAGGAAAGTAAAAGTTTTATTTATAACGGCTGGAAAAGGGAATCAAACCCGGAACCCCTGCATTATTAACCACAGAGCTATCCAGGCCGATATCCACGATCCATAAAGTCCAAACCACTACATAAAAATGTTGTTTAATGCATATTCAAGTCTGTTTAAACCAATGTCAGAGGATAAAGTCCCTAGAACCCCAATATGAAAAGGCTTCTTTAACATGTCAAATTTTTGTGTGGATGAAAAATTTGATTTTGAATGAGACTGGATGAGAATCGGTGAGAAGCGAGACCAAAGAATCTTCTGGTCAATATTTGATATAGTTTAGTTCAGTGCGGAACTCCAGTGCCCAGTCCATGGCTATCCATTAGAAAACTTTCCAAAAGTTTCAACTTTTATCAAACTAGCAGCATATTTGTAGCTCACAAGTCTGAATAAATTGGCTTCTGACGACTAAAGAGGTACAATTCCATGCAATAAAAAAAATGTATTTTGTGCACAACAGTTCAAGTGTTTTATCTTCGTATTTTTAAGGTGCCATATCAACACTGTGTGTTCTTAGCATAGAACAAAACATTTTACACAACTGTTTTTGATAGCTTTACTGGTCTGAAATATTCCTGTCGACAAAAAAATACTCTTATATACTACCATATTTGGTGGCGTAAAAAATCGACCAATTATTGTTTTAGACGATAATGTTAAACAGGGATTAAATCAGGCCCCAGAATGACGAAAGAAATTTAAAATTTTCAATCAAGGGTTACAATGTTATTGCCTTGCAAGGTTTCATTATACATATGTATCTATGCCCAGCATCATGCTAATGTTTGAATTCATTTTGGGGATTCAAACCATACAAGATATCAGTATCTCACTGTGCCCTCAATATTCATCGGTGAGATAGAATATTGACAAAAATCACCAAAATTTTAAATTCATTCCAAAAAAAGGGCCTCTCTCCTCTCTCAATTATATATTTTATATTCTCTCTCTCTCTATTTTAATAGGGTCTTTTTGGCCCATAAATATATATAGTTATATCATAATTTTATATTTATTTATTATTTGAAAATTTTATTGGCAAGGATATGCTTAAAAATATTGATTAAATGATGTTCATATTGAGTTAAAGACAAAAATAATTCTCAGACATAAGAAATTTGATATCTTCTATAATGATGAAATTTGTTTGACAAATGGCTCTGGCTCTGTTTGATTACAGAATCCCCCCCCCCCCCCCCCCAACCTCCGACACATACATAAACACACAGACACGCCATTTCGAAAAACTTTCATTTCCTGGTATTTGACGAAAGTTTTTGTTTTGTTTTGTTTTGTTTTTTTTTTAATTTTTATCTTATTTTTATTTATTTATCTTTATTTTATTTTATTTATTTTTTGTTGTTGTTGTTGTTGCATATTCATTTGAATCACAGTACGTTTGAAGGATTTTCTTACATTTGTTATGTTTTGTGTTTTCATTTCCTGAGTGTATTTGATAATGATTTACGATTTTATATATAGATTTTTATATGTATTATATATATAGATTTTTAACTATTTTAGGAATATGTTAACGGGAAAAGAATGTGACAAAAATATGTTAATAAATGTTAAATAAAAACGAATAAATGTTAAGTACGTCTTTGTGTGTAAACATGTTTGAATAACTTTAAAGAATCAAACATACACTCATACATATATACAGAACGTGACATTTGGCTTAAGATTTATTTAAAAATATCTTGTAAAAAATAGTTATGTTTTGTCAATAAAAGGCATGTGATATTGTGAGTCAGTTTATTATTCATTCTCGGGTAGAAATAACAAGGAAGATGTCGAAATACCTTTGTTTTTTATAATTATATCTCCTGCTAGCTTCTGACTCAACACTGTCAATACACAAAATGACACCATAGCAGACGACTGTGTGCTTCTTATAGGATCCAAATATAGCCTAGATTTGCATACAAATATTTTCCTTAAATGGAATATCTCTATCCAATAGCTTTTTAGTTTACTACGACCATGACAATTTTCATTGGATAATATTTTAATCGGGCATTCCTTCAAAATGTAAACTCAAATATGATTGGATAATGAAAAATTCCATCTTTACAACGAACACATTCAAGCGTGCACGAGATCTTGTCTGATGTAAACGAGATTTAAAGGGGCCAAAACATGATTCACACATGTTTAACTAGTCACATCTACATATACTGATGTTTTGACTCGCATGCATGTTTTGACCAGGTGTGAGAAGAATCTTCGATTGCAGACATCAACCGAAATAAATTCCCATTCAGTCCACGATGGACGTGCTACCAAGCGGGAATATTTTCCGTGAATTACAAGTCGTTCACGACACGGGCTATTTTTCTGCACAGCCATCTCTTGAGGATAGATGGCAACAGGTATGTTATATACATTTACTTGTATGCCAATTTCAATGTTTATTTTATTTATTGTGTAAGCTGAATTTCTTGCGTATTGAAATATTTGCAAACTTATGCGAATGACGCGTAACCCCTCGTGAACCTCAGCGCCATAGTTTGACATTTGTAATCGGACGTGAAACCGATGTGAACAGAGGAAATTCAATCGTCAATAACTCTTAAAACTTATAATAGGCCCATCGATGCCACTCTATTTGTTTTAAATGAATTTTTAAGTTAATAATTATATCAAACAAGTTTGGTTATGAAATGCGGAAACACAGGATGTTCTGCTGACTTTAATGCGCTCCACTTAAACATGTATGAATCATCAGATATAGCAAACTCATTCTTGGCTACAGTTACTATAAACTCATTGTATGCAAAAAGACTGTTCTGTGGCAGATGTGACCTGACGTCTTGAATTTTGTAAATATAGAGAGTAATTGATCACTTTGCATGACCATTCATCGATCTTTAATTGACCTAGATACAAAGCTTGATTAGCATTCGAGAAGGATTCACAATTTTAGCATACACAGACGGTACTCTACAAACAGGATACATCTGGCGAACCAATATTTGGGGGGAAATATTGCATCTGACGGTAGTTTTCTAACCCATGTGCATAAATTCATATTTTCATACCATACCATTGATCATTGGAGCACTGTCATATGGTATGACATAGCTTTTCTGGGAATAAGTTGAGGTCATTTCTGATAGTCTGCCTGCAGCTGTGAACATCATCTGATGATATCGGTGCAGATGGGAAAGTTACACACTGATTATGAGTCATTTTGTGTTTGATTATAGTACTACAGCAAAATGTTTCCCATTCATACAGGAGAGATGTCAATTATCAGCTGTCAAAATTGAATGTCTCTTATGAAAATAGTCTACATGTAATTTCTCACGTGTTGAGGGAATGTCAGTTACAATACTGTCAAACACTTCAAGTGGTACATCGTCATACACTATAGCTGTTCTGGGGGAAATAGGAAAAAATTGACAAATTACGATTGGTTTATTGCCAATGTATTGAAGTAAAAAGTCAACAAAACGTATGTTTGGAGGAAAAATGAGATTCAAACAAGACTACATTTCAGTCATATATTAATATTTGCATAAAGTGAATTTAAACAAATTTCAAAAAACATTCTGGTAATTCAGTGATCCAAATCAGTCATCATAAATATTTAAAATGTGATAAAGGATTGGTTTTTTAAAAAATGCAGTTCAGTATTCCGCCGGATAATAGTTTTAAAATTGGATCATTGATATTATCAATATTTCCTGTTGAACTATGGAATATATATCTAATTATCATTTTCACAGTTAACATCACAAACAATATCTTAGCCCCCAATCATGTTAACGGGATTGAACATTGTTGTTAACAGCTTCATTGTGTCTCTCTTGATTATAGGTCTGATTGCTAGAGCTGAGTGCGATTTGTACGACTATTTTATATGTTTGCCCTGTGGCCACATTCCGACTTTTGCCTCTGTTTACTTTGTCTAGGGAACAATATGGTATTATTAATATACACATGCATATATGTATATATATATTTTATGAATTGATCAGTTTCTCAGTAACACATGGTAAAGCGTTTATTTGTCACAAAAGTAAATGTTTGCATCACGTTTATATCATTACTCCCAGGTCAAGGGAGGATAGACACAAGTTCAGGGGGTTCCTCTTTATGTGTCTGTGTGACAACAATTCATGAATTTTGTTGAAGGAAGTACAGAGAGACGCGGAAAGTTTATATTCTTTAATATATGACATTGGCATTTATTTAAGTGGTGAATTGAGGGTCTCCAATGTGCAAGAAGTAAAAAAAATATAACTTCATGGGCTCCTTCCTGCATAAAGTAAACTATACAGTCAAACCTCGTCATCTCAAACTCGATGGGACCAAGAAAAAGCTAGATATTTGAGGATTCAAGACGTCAATGGTAAATTAATTAAATAGTAAGTGGTTGGGACTTAAGAATTATCTCGACATATGATCACATATCCATGGTATTCGAGATATCAGTGTTTGAGATTTTGATGTTCAACTGTAGTTGCAATTATTGATTCACAAAATTCTGTTCAGAAGACATCTTTTCAGTTAGTGAAAATGACAGTCACCTTCAAAAATTGTGTGTAAATTTATTTACAGATGCTTGTACATCAGGTAGTGAGTAGTGATACTGCGTTGTATTGCAAGGAGAACAAATACTGTTTGTATTTTAGACAAACAAAGTGCACTTAAAAGATACACAGTACAAAACATATCCTTTAAACTGAAGGTTGCTGAGTAAGCTTTCACACTGAGAAAAATATGTAACAAACAATGTGTATTGCAGTGAGGTAACATATAACAGGCAGATGGCCGCATTGCTGTAACGTTAGATCTATCTTTTTCCACAGATGTGCTTGTAAGGAACGGGGAAATTTTACTGTAGCTTTGATATATATATATAATAACCTATTTGTGCAAACAGCGCAAATACACATTCATGTACCTAATGCTATTAAGTTTTTTCACAATCAGATATAAAACTGTGTGTAGATTAAGATAAGAAAAGATATATTTTAGATTAAAATATTAGAGAGACGCGAGAAGGTTTCTTTGGCAAATCAGTAATGAACTAAAAATGAGTAACGGAAATGAATATGCTCTACATTATACTGATGGTTAGTATCACAAAAATGCATTGTTTATAGTTGCTCTGCATAAGCATTTGGTCTATCAGTGCTCCAGAATATATTTTTATTTTGTTAATGACATAGTTGCACTTGTTTCTGGGTTACTATGGTAATAATATTCCAGCCTTCTATACTCTTCCTGAGTCAGCAATGAAATATGGAAAGAATCAATACACTTTGTATGTATATTCTGAATTATAGAGTTCTTTTATGATTTATTGCTAATAGTTTAAAAAAATAAAAATATACAGAGTGCCATGTGGCAATGCCAAATGATCTGCTCTTCTGTTTCTTTAAAATTTGAATATTTTGAGAAAAAAAATCCAATATGCAGTCTTCAATGTTATCGATAAATAATGATTGAGATAAATTCCCAGCAAGAATTTTGGTCACATATCGGGACTCTCTTCAAAATTCTAAGGACATTGATTATGAAAATTACCATGATAATTCAGAAACACTTTTGTGAATTTTTTCCCAGTCAGAATTTTCAGTTTAGCTGTTCGGTGCCTGGGAATTTGGTGCATGAATGAGAGAGGTCAAAATTTTTAAATGTACTGGTACACAATATCTTTAACAAGTCTTTCTTATATGCATAGGCCATTGAAAGCCTTATTATCAACATTTGAGAGTTGGCAGTGTCTTTAAAAAATTCTTTAGACACAGGGAATGAACATGATATAATGTTCGCAGTCTATAGTTTGTATAACACACCATGGTGAGTGGCCTAGATACTTGAAATAGTTGCGTGAATAGGCAGGCTGCCTTTTACTATGTACGCAGAATCTATACAAAAACTTTATCTGTGGCATAGATCAAGCATCCGTATGAGAAAATTTGCTAAATCTTGCAACAGCAAAAAAACATTGCATTGTTCTACAGATGTTTTTTTTTCTTCAAATTTATAAGTACAAAGATGACAGTCATCAAAAAACGAGGAAAAGATACACATATCTAAACAGATTTTATCATGTCAATCAGTTTCCGTCTCGATAAGAGTGCATGCAGTCAAAGCTCAGTGGAATTTTTTGTCTAATTTTTTTTTTATTCCAGATACTTAGCAGATACTAAGGATAGAGACTGCGCTTTTTGCAGAGACAACTAGGGTTTTTCTCCATTGATTTATGGCAACAGTTCAGCTTATATGGCAGTAATTCACATGTGGTGTCTTGTTTCATGGTTATTATATTTTCTCTGTTTCTCAAATTTCGAGCTTTGATTTGTGGTCACTTAATCATTGAAACTCTGGCATGGGAAGATGAACTTAGAAAAATATAGCTAGGTCACTTAACTTCGAGATCAACCTTTGTTTCTCTTATTTTTTTAGTCGAATGAGGAAAGTGAAATTGATAATCAAAGGTAAAAATAAATCAATTTCCTTGTCGTTTTTCTGTTTGGGGTTAAAAGCATTGCCATTGAGTGCAAGGGGGTTGAAGGGGGACCTTCTTTGATGGAATAAGATATTTCAAGTCTGGGTCAGTTTATTAGAATTTTTTTGATGGCCTACAAGTGGGACTGTGCCTTTTCATCAGAACTCAGCAAAAGTGTCAAGTCGCGCATATAGAGTTATACAATACATGGTAGTCAGGTATCTGTACTGTACTATACCTGCCAATCTTACATTGAAAGAAAAATTGAAAAGATGGATATTTGAAATGTTCTACATTGGTGATCAAGTTTGTCTAGAGAGACTGTATGTAGACAAACAGAACTTTCTTACAGCACATCAAAGTCAGATGAAGGTCAAAATCCCATTAAGTTAATACTTTAATTATGATTTTCTGGATTTCCTTGGAGGACACACCATGAAAGATAGTTTGCTATGTATACTGGTACATAAACAATTTCATAATGATGGGCTTTTTGAGATGAACAATTTTTTTCGGAGTCTTTTATAGATGTCTTGAGCTTTTACCGATGTAGTTTTTTAAGTAATGATTTTCCATTTTAAGATGAAACATGACAACTGGCAGGCAGACATTGGAATATGTAGTTGTTGACTGTTATACTGTCATTCAATAATAAGTTCAAGGTAAATCGTAGACATGTAAGTGTAGGCATTAAATTTTTTTATCAAGGAAGAAATATACCTAATGTAGCATGTTCCTATCAAATGCTTAGCTAAAGGAGGAAGTTCCTAAACAATAATGAACACAGACTACATTTGAGTAGGCCCTTGAGTTTGTCATCTAACTCCATTAATCAAGATGGACATGATATAAAATTCCAAATTTTTACTTTTTATACATTAAGGACATGAGATGCTGGCAAGCTTG